TCTAGGATTAAAGTTTCAAAGTTTGAAATTCATTAAATCTTGAAACACAATCTGTTTTGGGGTTGGAATCAAAGTTTAAAAACGGAGAAAGTAAAAACTCAGAAGTACAATGTTATTGTTTGTGTAACGCCCCGATTCTCAGCTATGGATTTAAATAAAGAATTTCTTTAGTTTTAAGTCCTACTCGACGAGTTAAGGTTGCCATAATCATCGAGTAGCAGCAAGGTGGGATCGCGAATTTAGTGATCTACTCGCCGAGTCCACAAAGGGACTCGACGAGTAGGAGCTGGCAGATGAAACCCTAAATTCCGGGGCATTTCACCCTATTTAAAGGATCATTGGCCACCCCCTAGCCTCCCCTTCACTGCCTCTTGTCCCTCTAAATTCCAAATCGCGTGTGTGAGCTCATCTTCTGCATTTTAAGCTTGAAGGAAGAATTCTTGAAGGGAAAAGAGCTTGGAGACCAACCATTCAGAAACAAGGAGCTTGAAGGACCTAAGATCTTCTGTGGTTAGCATCTTATGGAAGGTATAAATCGTTACCCTAACCTCATTCATTATATTGGGCAACTTTTAGGGTTTTCATAGTGTGTTTGGAAGCTACTCTTCTTTGCAACCTCAGATCTGAAGTTGTAACTTCAGAACTGAGATCCTTTGGGCTTCTTAGTACATAAAGTTTCCAGCTTGTGCAAGAATGAGACTTTCCCAAGTTGTAAAACTCCATTGGAAGTATATATTGGTCATTTAGAGCCTTTTAGAACCTTGCATGTGCGTAAAGTTTGCAACTTTACGTGATAAACATGCCTTAGAGGCTTGGATGGCTTAAAAAGCGTTTGCATGGATGGAAGTCTGCGAGGACTTGGCGAGTTGGATGAACAACTCGGCGAACCCGATGAATTTGGCCGTGAACTTGACGAGTTGATGAACAACTCGGCGAGTCCGTTGAAGTTTTCCTTGAACTTGATGAGTCGTTAGAAAACTCGGCGAGTCGACTAAAGTTCCTCAATTCTTGGACACGTATGAGCTCGGCGAGTTAAAGGATGACTCGACGAGCCAATCAAGGATTTCCCGACTTCTCGAGTCCAGAAGCGACTCGACGAGTCGATTAACTCGAGTCAACATGGACTGTTGACTTTGTCCAAGAGTTGACCAGATGACTTCTG